GTAAAAACAAAGACAACAATAAGACAGGAACAATAATAATAGTAACAACAACAGCAACAATACAACAGAAACAAAAATAACAGTAATAAAAACGACAACAATAAAACAGAAACAATAATAACAGTAAAAACAAAGACAACAATAAGACAGGAACAATAATAATAGTAACAACAACAGCAACAATACAACAGAAACAAAAATAACAGTAATAAAAACGACAACAATAAAACAGAAACAATAATAACAGTAAAAACAAAGACAACAATAAGACAGGAACAATAATAATAGTAACAGTAGTCGGGGCAACAACAGCAGAGGCAGCAATCAATAATATTATGTGTATGAATGTGCATGTCTGTATTACTATCCGATTGCGTTCAAACTTACCTGAAGAATATAGAGGGAAATCTGATGATGCCATATCTCCCTACTACCGATGTCTGAAAAATCTGAATGAAATACTTCCGTTTTCCTCCAAGTGTCGAATTCTTACTACTTTTTGGTGTTCTTCTGGTGAAATATTCGGTGGGTGTTTTTGGTCGTTTTGTTGTTTTAGAATTCACTTACCATCTTTTTCATGTCATCATTAAGTTGCACAGATGGATCTAAGAGTTTGAAAAGAAGGATAAGATTTGGACATCAACGGTTTTTCCTCCTGTAGTCTTCAAATGCTTTTCGCTTGGCTTCATAATCTTATAGTATCACTAAGGCGCCGCGTACACTGCAATTTAAAAAAAAACTAAATCAAATATATATATATAAACTTCCACTTTTTGCACGGCTGCGAGTGCGCTAATAAGGCAATTTTCCCCAGTTTGTCCCTCATCGCCACCAAACGACGTCATGCTTCGTAGCCGTGCGAAGAATGGAAATTTTCCATGCGTAAGCAGAGCCTTATATATACATATGTATAAGACCGGCGGTTCTGGTATAATAGTAAAAAGGAGCTTCAACGTCGAACGCAGATAATATGAGTTCGCATCGGGTGTATGGATTTTAAAAATTTTTTTTAGTTGTTTTGTTGTGGGATTTTTTGTGTGTGTGAGTGTTTTTTAATAACCAGATAAATCTCCATCTGTTTGTCAGGATGTTGCATCCCTCTCAGCTCGGGTTGGCCCTGACAAGCAGGTTCAAAGAAGTCTTCTTCCTGAGAGAACTAAATTGTTGCGACGGAGGCGTAAAACGTCTATTAATTTATTAATTACATGTATGACTTTTATACGATTTATCGAGGAAAAGAAATCCTTCAGGGACGACTCCTCAGGGACCGTTCTTTCGTACTTATAAAACTACAGAAGTTATACAACTCCGTCAACATATTTTATCCCTATCCGTACGCCCTGGAGTCATTTTGTACCGCCCGGGGTTGTATTCTTCTCATTTAGAATACTTCCAGAGCGAAGATCTTTTTGAAACTTTCAGTATTTCTCAAAAAATCATTTTGACAGACTGCTACGCGAAGCGTACGGGTCGGATTAACGAGTAAATTTCCTCTTTTGCAAAGTGGTGGCACAGAGTTTCCCACGTCGTATGGATACGATAGTAAGACACAGGTACGGATAGGGTTAAGCTATTTAAAAGGGCAGGTTCTTTAATTCTACCCTACCTCTCAGGGACGACTTTGGCTGAGAGGGATACAACGCGCCAGCAGAAAGACGGAAGCACATGTACTCCTTTTTTAAAAAGTCCAGACAGGAATCGTACGTATATCTTCTGCAGGCGACCGTGGAACTTGTAAAAGATAGATCTATGTTACAGATGCCGGTGTTCTTATTCTTGACTCGAACTTGTTGAATTATACCTTTGTATCTCTCTTTCTCTCTCTCTCTCTCTCTCTCTCTCTCTCTCTCTCTCTCTCTCTTTCTCTCTCTCT